AAAATTCTACTTAATGGGAGACTGTTTCACCTTGTTTGAAGATCTTCTATTTATGATTTGTTCATGTGCTATTTACATTACGACCCTGGGTACAATATGCAGAACTTGTCAACCACAACATGTTCCTGATTTTAATTAAAGAGCACCTCTAAGGAAAAAAGACGTTTTCTCTGATTTTATCTGTTCAAATAAATATGGAAGGATCCAAATCAAATGCAGTGTCATTTGTCTTCAGAGCTCAACTATAACAAGCTACAAAGGGCTTTTTCTGTCTTGAACACCTGAGTAACTTGTATTTTTCCTGGCAACTGATTTACTGGTCTAGACCCCTATAGGTTTCAGGCCAGTAAAATAAACTGCCCCAGCCAACAGTGATAGATACCCGAAATTCAAACAAATCAGAAAAAATACTTACCAGTTTCTCAGGCGTTTGAGACGCACGTCAAATCAAAGCCCACTTTCTGATTTTTCAGTTTCTTGTCAAATTTCCATTCATGGAGCTTTGGACTATGAATGTTTCCGGTCAAAACGGACCTGTTTGGACTAATAAACTCAAGCTTCAGGAACTGTGTGTGTTAAAGAACCTTGGGGATGTCGAGTAGACCAAATTAATAAAATACAATGCCGCACACGACGTAATGGTGATTTTTAACGTTTCAGCCTACTGCAGAGGGCCACCAGGATAAAATCCAGCAACTCCACCACTGTCATGAGGCTCATGCCACACAGCAGACCAAGGTAGCCTCCGATGTCACCTGTGGGAAACAAAAAAGGGAAATTGATGAGAACGTCAGGCCTGTAAGGAAAACAGTTAAGTGACAATATACATTTTCATGAAAAAAAATCATTTTACTAAACTTTCAAATGTAGTTTTTGTTCATATTTTATTAAAAACCCCTTCAATAACGGTACATCTTTTTATCAGATTTTGCCTAAAGTGTATTTTTAATTGTGCCCAGTGATTTCTTGCGCGGAAGTAAACTCCATTCAAGTCACTCTGAAAACATGCTTATAGGGCGTTTTCGAAACGAGTGGATTCGGCTTAGGCTTTGGTCTCGCTGGTTCCAGCCATTTTGAAGCAGCGTTTAAAACCATACGTTCAAGCTCTGCTTGGAACCAGCGAAACTAAAGCCTAAGCCAAATCCACTCGTTTCGAAAACGCTCATAAATTACCCACCCAAAAGAACCCTCAAAAACAGTCTAGACTATAACAATTTGAGAAGTCGCACTTACTCTGAAGATTATCCACAGTGTATGCCCCTATTTGCTCGATTCTTGTGTACATGATTTCGTCATAGTAGATATACACATCAAGATAATTTTCCCTTTAACAAAACACATAAAGCTTACTTTTTAATGCATAATTTTTGGTTTGATTAAGCAGATTCATTTAAACCGTAAATATTCATAGAACATACAAATTACCCCCAACTGTAAGGGACGACACGAAAGTCAGATCACTGACTAGGACAAGTTATTTTAACAAATATTCGTCATCTGCCATTACGATCGAACACCAACACACTACAGACTGACCTTATGAAGTCTTCGGTTACATTCATTTCTGCCTGTAACTCCTTACTGAGAAAGGAAGCTGGCCAGTACGCTTGCGAAATCTCTCTGCCGTAAGTGATGGCTTTGCAGGCGATTGGACAGTGACACTGGTTCTCTTGCGATAAAACAAACTCGTCTTTATGGGGCCCAAGAGGAAACGAAAAAAAATCCTGTAATGCTGCTGAACTGTTCAAAATAACCAGAAGTCCAAACGCCGTTCTGCTGTTTATTGGTTAATAAAAAACCATTTCAGAAAAGAAAAATCAAATTTGTGTCAATGAATTCCTTCTTTAAACTTAATTTCCTGTAAGTGACCAATCAAAGCGCTGTATATGGTATGCAAACTATACCGCCTGCGCAGTTAAGCGGGTGAAGTATGCGAAGTCACACATGACGATGACGACTTGATTCTTCGCTTACTTTACGCGGAACAAATTCTCTTCTCTGCCACTAAAAGCTGGTATAATGTTCACCCGTGTACAATACACAAATTTCTCTACTGCAGTTGTCAGCAACCAAAATATACAAGTTCCAGTTGTCTATGAATATTTGTACCTTCCCGGAAATATATATTTACTAAAAAACTAAACAAATAAGTATAATTAAAGACCATTACGTTTTTTATGAGATTTTGGACTGCTGATAATGTGCATCTTTTATTTCAGTTTTGTTCCAGTGGGAACACCGTCTAGACAAACAAAAAAGGAGAAAGAAAGAACTAGACCCCACTCATTGCTTGGAAGAAAAATTACAAGTTAAGAAAAAAAGTGGTCCGTAACTTTTTTGAGTAGAGAAAACAAAAAAGAAAAGACTTAGGCTGTGTCTGGAACGGGCTTCTAGAGCTAAGGCTAGTCCTATTGTCCACGCGTCTCCGCACATTTCCAATGGAGGGAAGACCTAGGCCTAGCTCTAGGCAACAGATTCAGATGCAGCCTCATTATCATCCATACAACCAGAAATGTTCAATAGCGCCCCCATACGGTAGAGTGTTCGGATTAAGAGGCGCTGTCGTATTTGATATTATGCTAATCTGCCCTTCATTCAACAAATAGATACTGGCATATGCTTTGGTAAGTATTTAAAACCCTGTATAGGTAGACTGCATGCGGGAAATGGGGAAAAAATGGCAAAAGTTAATTTCCATTTAGCAATGAAATAACTTGTAAAAATGTTATCTTTTCGGGGACAACTTGTGATTAAAAGTGTGTGTCTTGTCCGCTTCTGTAAATATAATTAAATCCAACTTAAACATAAATACACAACAAACCAAAAAGTAGGAAGGTCGAAATCGATTAACATAAAACAGTTAAAATAGCAGGACATGATAATCTTTTTTTAATGGGGGTGCTTCTTTCTTATCATTAGTGAACACAGGCACTGTAAAAACGAGGCATAGGCTCAGCACATTTTATAACCAAAATATCTCACCTTCATAGCGGTAGATGCATTGCACTTGCTTTTCCAAGGAGCAAATAGGTATATCACCTGTAGAAAAAGAAAGAACCGGTGGACGTCAGCAGATTTTTTTTCTGTAGATTAACAGGAATTTCGAGGAGGGGGGCAAGAACTTTTATGTTCCATTCTTTCCAGGGAAGCACTATCCGCCACCCTCTCCTTTACCTCCTCTCTTTCCCCTTCTCATTATAGTCGTCGTCGTCGACGTCATTCCAATCACCACCACCACCATCATCCCCATCCACAACCCCATCATCACCATCACCCTTCTCGTCCTATTATCACCGGTCTTGTATTAATATTTATCATCAGCATCACCATCTTGTTTTGTTTTGACGGCATTCTTACGTATGCTCCACCTGTAGTCTCGACATCCACACTTCCGAGTGACATATAGTATCTTGCAGGCGTACTTGCAGGAAGCCGCTGAATATTTGAACCGGTGTCTCCCCCAGTTGCCGTCTGTGCAGTTTGACTTGTATGGCGCCTTTTGATTTATCATCTTTAGAGAAGGAACAGAACATTTTCCTTACATGACCTGTTTTGGTTACCTTAACAAAATGACACAATTAAACAACTGATTAAGACTCATACTAACTTCCCCAAATACGCCTTTTATACTGGTATTTAGTTCCCGCTTTTTTGTTTTCATTGAAAAGATCATAACCTCACATCGAAACACCAGTTCAATTCAGGAGAAAAAAAGACGACTTACAAGGATATCTTCTTCAATCAAACTAGAGGTCTGGGTTTCGTGAATATAATTTTGTCACTTGAAAACAGTTTACCGACTGTGGTGTTCAGTTTAAAGAGTGCCTGTCCAGGAAGATATACCCACGATAGTTAGCAATGCCACTTACGACTTTCTGCCGCACGACTATCGAGGTCTCGAAGCCCGGCGAAAGGGAGAAAGCAAAATCCTTGATCATAGGATACTCGCCTTGAGCATGTAGCAGCACCTGGGGGAAAACGTGTTTGGTCAATGTAGCATTTCGATTGGAATTTCTTCCAAGAGTTCATTGTACAAGACATGTGGGCAGAGATTTTTGGCCTCTTGTGGGGGGGGGTTCTGAAACTTCATTGCAGCCTCTATCCCAGGCGAGATCGTGACACACGATCGTGATCGTGAGTGTGGAGTACAGTGCTGCAGTCTAAAGATGTGCATAGTCACAGGGGTTTATTTTTCAAAAGAGTAGTAGATATCTGTCTTTGTCCTTTGACAAATTACGAAGCCGCGACGTGGTGTTCGGGGCCCGGAAAAAATCCGAATATTAGAGGCTCTCTGGTGCATTCTTACGCATTTCGTGAGCTTTCACTGGGGATTCCCCACTGACATATTTAAAGTACAGTGCTGTATTCAAATGGTGTTATTTTCAAAATTTCAACAAATATGTTTACAATGCAGAAAACTTGTAAATGATTCCGAATTGACACATGTATCTCTTGATTGCCCGGCGTTACATTTTATTATTTTTATCATTTTTCTTTGCGACCAAGTGTGATTGCCTTCGTTTTAAAAGTTATTTGTACATTAAGTCATTGTCAAATCAAAACGAAGTTTAAAAATGTCGACGCAGAATATTAAGCATTTTTCACACTTCCTCAGTGCACGATGTGCATTACTTTGGTTGGGTCTACATTTAATATTTGCCGGGGCATGTGCTTCAAGTGTTTTTAATTCATTACGTAAGTTACGGAATTTATAAATATGGTTGTAGAGAAGAATAGGGGTAAACGTTTCAACTGAACTATTGCCTCTGTCAATCACAACTATAAACAAACGGTGAGACTATTTGGAACATTTTGAGAGCAGGAATTTTTCCACTCACCCATGACTCAACTTACAGGTAAATGTGTGAGGTCGTCCCCCCCCCAAAAAAAACAAATTAAATAAAATGACTAAATAAATAACAATGATAAATAAATATAAAACTAATAAAAAAAACGGAAATGCATATTGCTTTCAACATAATTAAAATACCCATAACTTTTCACTTTTCGAAATATAAGAAATTAAAAATTATGAAGGTAAAATATAAGGCTTGGATCCAGGACATCAGATTATGTCATGAAGTCTGAAATTCAAAAATATGTGTCACGAACATGTCTAGCTTCCTAGTTGCCAAAAGATCTCTCAAACCATATACATTTCTGTTGAATGTACCTTTTGAATTGAAATTGAGAGAAAAAGGTCAAAGGTTCTCACAGAGTAACACATGCTATTTATTTGGGGGAAAAACGCTCAGTGCTAACCGTGAACAAGTGATAACCACGGAGGAAATCACAGAAGGTAGTCTGGATCCGCCCCCGATCAGCCCGCGGCACATGCTAATCTACCGCGCACAGACCACTATGTTGAGGGCGGCCGCGCACGCAGGGACTGCCGCCAGACCACCCCGCACGCAATGCTCGGCGGCAGCCATTCGAAATTATGACGCAATTCATCGTTCTGCGATCAAAAGAGCTCACACTCACCCCCTTAACCCATCCCCCTAAGTGTTTTTATTTATTTTTTTTTCTTTTCTTTTCAAGAATGATAGCTAGTTTCTTGTCACGTAAAACCTTCAAAATGCCACTTGAAAAATATGTCCATTTTTCACAGATGAAACCGTCAGAAGAATTAACGTGTTTTTCCCTTAATTTTTGTCGTCGATTATGCCCGGGCATGTATTTATTCGGGCAACTCAAGCACTACCCGTTCATGTGCAAGTCGTTGGAAGTAGTGTGGCTCCTGGGGAGAGAAATCTTAACTTCATCATTTTCGTAGGGAGACATTATAAACCACGTCCTTAATGTGATGCGTGCGCACAACGTGTGCGCAGTGACCCATTTCGATTCATACCATTCGCTGTGCAACAGTATGGGCCCTTTTAACGTTTGTTTGTGTACAGGTAATAATCAGGAAATGAACTGCGCATATCAGGCCGATTCACAGGTTTGTGTGTGAGGAGACTTCAGTGACTTGAAAAAGGGGGGGGGTTGTATAGGTATCCCTCAACCCCACCTAAAAAAATGTTTGTGTGAGAGTTTTGTTTTACATTCAGTTGAGGACCGTGAACAATAGAGGACAGTAGGGTCCGCGGTTGAGGAAAGATCCGCAGTTGAAAATCGTGTGCATAACAAAATGAGGAACAATATGAGGTCCATGATAGAAGGTATTTATACATTTGTGTGTTGGGGGGGCTATATTCCCCAATCCCCATGGGATCCCTGCGCATAAATTTGCTTGGAACACATAGCAATAAATATTCCCTTCCCCAGGGTTCCAACTCCCCCGTCAGAAGGCAAGAATGATTGTGTCAAACGTGTAAACGAGACTGAATAAAAAAGTATCATTTTCGATTCAGAGTAGGACAAACGAATGCACCGTATGTATTGGCAAAATAAATCAACTGGCTGCAAATATTAAATGAGGTTTCACTTCAGAACTCTAATCTGAATACAGTAGCATGTGTCTTAATAACCCCAGTGAAAACATAAACTAAGTTTTCTTTATGAGTTCAAGGTTTTTTTGTTTTTTTTTTTTGTTTTTTTTTTTTTTTCTGATTGCAGCACTATTGACATTTTGTCGTGCTTCAGAAACCATGCACCCGAGAGAAAGGCACTGAAAACAGGCTACTTATCTTTGGTATCTACACGTATCATATAAATACTGTGTCAACTGAACAATCATGAAAGGTTTAGAGCAAGGAATGACACTGTAGATGGAGAATCTCTACTTATTTAACCGGATATTGATTACACCAGATGTATTGCCGGACATCTCAATAGGTGGGGCGTGACCGATGTTGAAAATGCTTGATGGATGGGGGGAGTGTATTACCCGCGTAACGTTTTACCCAAATCAGTTTTCTTAAAGTACTAATCAATGTAGGTTAGGTTTCCAAGCTTCCATTGAAAAAGTTCCATACCTTCAATCCAGCCGCGGTACTTTCCCCGTATGTATACAGATATTGCTGCACATTCAAGCGCATGAACAACCCATGCCTGCTGCCCGGATGTCTGACAATTAGCGCCTCGTGGTCAGACAGAGGATCGTTGAATGTGTAGCACACCCCGTGGTCCGTGATGCTCCGGGTGAAGTTCCGGTACGAACAAGTCTCGGATACCCACCGACATTTGACCAGCATATCCTCGATCCGGTAAGAGGCGTCGATCATCCTGCCCATCAGCTCTTCGTTGCTGGACGAGTTGAACAACTTCGAGTCGACGAGCGCGTCCGTATCGGGCGGGGTAGCCGGGTTGGCGAAGATGTCCGACAGCAGCTGCACTTCGGAAGCGTCCAGGGCGTCTTTGCGAAGCATGTTGATGTTGCAGAGGGTGAGAGCTGGGAAGGTGATGTTGGGTGGGTACTGGACAGAGATGGAACTCATCTCTGGGTACTCGAACATCAGCATGATGGCACGGATTATGTCAAATATCAGCAAGGCAGTCATACCTGTCACAACAAGCAGCCACACAAATCTGGGGAACAAACGCAAGGTTATGGACGGAGACATATAACTTACATCTGATAATCGCGGTTACATGACATGCAGACGAAAATGACGCAAAGTTTTTGTTGTTGATTTTGTAATTAATTTTTTTATATCATGCGCAAACAGTAGCTTGACCAATGTAGCATTATAAATTGCTTTTTAACACACGCACAATCGGCTTAACCTCTCCAATTTAAATTCAATTATTCTTTAATGCCTCAAGCATAGAAATAGACTAATTGAATCACTAGTAAATTGTAATTCTGTACGCATTCAGACGGGCAGAAAGGGACATGTTACGAAGATGTCAGATGTGTATTTACAGGAATGGTTGCCATGTGGAGGACTTACCACATTAAACTGATGAGGTAAGTAGCGAAAACAAAGCAGATAAGATTGATTTACATGTTGGTAAATTCCTTGTTTTCAAGAATGCGTTCTTAAAGCAAAGGTATTTTCGCACACTTGTTAACCACATATGCAAACTTGTCACAGTGCCGATTTCAGTACCCTTAACACCGGTCTAGTTTGTTCACCCATCTGTGTCAATAACATCACAAGCTGTATACCATTGCAAAGGGGACATTCTGCTCTTCAAGTTCTAGAGATATGTTTGACTTTTCCATATATAAGGTAGTTTTGCTACATTTGCAAATAGGTCATTTGGGAGACATTTTGTGGTAACATTTTAGTGTCTATCTATTTTCAAACTACCAGAAGGAGGCCGAATTTTACAGTCCATATGTTGAGCGATGATAGTTTAGGCCTAAAAAAAAAAAAATTCAAAGTTTGGTTCAGATCAGATTAGGGAATATTGAATTATGGGACAGTAAAGTTGGAAAAAATTTGTGCACTTTCTTATGGGAATGTCTCCCTAATGACCCATTAGCGTTAATCAATTATTAGAGTAATTTTTAACTCGGTATACATTTAATGTGGACACCCCGTATTGCGATTTATTGACGAACTTGTCTATAGACACAACACGATTCCTTCAGCACACTCCTGCGGCAGCACCAAGCTGCAAGTCTCGGTCCATCTAGCGTAGTTAGATGCGGCAGAGATCAAAAGGGTGTATCCAGGGCCTCAAAAATTGGTCACTCCGTTTGTAGAGCCACAAATCTCCTGGTAGGCACTCTGGTAGCGATCCAGGGCAGTGACAGCCATGATGACAATGACCCGCCACACTTTCACAAGCCAGGGGGGTGGGGAGTGAATAATAATTTTGTCCAAAAACAAGCCAGCATATGGGAGTAAGCATTTCCACTGACGCATCTGTGGCAATGCCAGAATGATCCTTTGAATGAAACCCTCGGTAAAAGGAATGCCTACGCACAGCTTGAAAAGTCATGCAATTTGGGTTAGCTGTTGTGCAGTGTTTGGTTAAGAGATCAAAACACGTCTGCGGGACTGGGAACAACATGTGGCGAGCTCACTTGTGGAGAGGTTAAAACCAGATGAAAATTACGACTTGGAGACACATTGACAGCGCAAACCTATGGCACGGGAGACACGGGATGTGGAACCTTTATGGAGTATTTGTGAACACCTTCGAAGTCTTCTGATGCCACTTACCACGGTGCACAGCGATACTAAAATAATGTTCTTGCATGCTTCTGTGTTTGTTTTTAACTCCGTGCAATTTGAGATCTGCTTTGCTGACATCGCGTAGAAAAAGCGCACATGCGTGCACCAGAACACAAACAATCCTGAAATCAATGTCACATGACCTGTACAAGTCGGCGGTTGCAACACAAATTGACGTAAAACCAGTAGCTTTCGCGCCCCACGAATTTGACGTGTACGGTAATGCTCGACACAACAGTTCGTCGTACCGCAACTGCCTACGATATATCAGTTCTTATCTAAGGACATTTTGGAAGGCTTAATAAACTCTAGTAGACTATTACTTTTACAGCCGAGTTGTGAAGAGGCCACCCCCTCTATGCCCTGACAAGAGCGTAAATCCTGTGGAGATGGGGGGGGACATCCAAAGATTGGCGACAGGATCAAATACTGTGTAGGACGATATGAAACAAATTTTGATTCATTGACTTAAACTGTAGAATGGTTCGAGGCTTCTTTCATTTTCGTTCATGCCCTATTTGGAAATTATTTTGCCTTCTTCGGGGGATTTTTGTAAAAAATAAGGCCTAAAGTTATTAACGATTTTATTCTATGTTTAAATGACTCGCCGAGAGTGACACAAGAAATTAAAATAGTTTTTACAGAGTGACCATGCAGGAGTCCTGAAAAGAAGTAATGAATCAAACCATGCATGGGGAGTCTCAAATCACAAGCTGGTTTTTTAACAGTACAGGCAATTCACAATACAGCGGGCCACCAGGATTTTCCTGCAGACATGCCACATTTTTACGGTCGACGCTGCTGCGATTTAGGGGATATTTGCTTGATGAAGGCTTTCCCTGCGCCACACAAAACCACCATTCTGACTTCTGAACACCCGCTCGCAATAAGCAATTTCGAATTATCAACCACGATAACCAATCATTCGGTACAAATTAAAGTTTTCGCGCACAGCGCAGTTAGCAAATGAGACTTTGTCGACTATCCCATAATGCACTAAGAAAAGGCCTCTCAATGACAACCTCCTGGTGGCGCACTGCACTGTCAATCCCCCCTATTCAATTCTGCTTATTTAATTTTTTTCACTCACGTTTATAATGCACATGTTAAACAGTGTGGATACTTTCTCCAATTTCTTTTTTGAAAACAAAATAGTAACAATTTAAACGATACTACGATGAACAGTCTTCAAGACCTACGTGTAGAGCAATCCTGAGGAGTGCAGTGAGGCACAACCATTGAAAACATCCTTCTGACCAACCTGCGAAAAGTATGATATGTGCTGTTGGTGACGTAGCGTAGACCATGGAAAGTCGTGTCATCCCCAAACTGCTGAATTCTCGCCGCTAGTATATTCTTGCAGGTGTCTTTCGACTTCTTTCTTTTAAAGCCTCTTTTCCTCCTGGTGACCGACGGACGCCGTCTTTCCCGACCGTCACGAAGATCGTCGGTTTCCATGCCGAAATTATGATCAGTTCCGTCGCACGGACGGTTCATTGCAATAGCAGTGTTTCAACGTAACGTGTATATAGGCTTACGATGTGAACTCAACAAAATGAGGGTTGGTTTGACTAGGCCTGCTTGACGGGAAAAAGTCTGTCCTTGCCAGAGATAGGCGTTACTGGCTACGTCTCATCACCACACGATGCACACCGTAAGCTCGAAGTCAAAGCTTCAAAATTCCCAAATCGGCCGCGGCTTCCTTATGTCAAGAAAGTGCCAGCATAAACTTTGCATTTGCACAGTTGACCCATGTTTGTCTGTCGTTGTTGCTGGTATACATGTATGTTAAACTCTTCACTTTATTGATCGCCGAAATAAGGCCTGGTATTTGCATATGTCAATAAGTAAAGAGTATTCCAGCGGCTCTCTGACGTGACTGTAAAGAGTAAGGTATTGTGGTAACTGAAGAAATGGTAAGCATTTTCAATCCCTCAAGGGAATATTATTGAACCTCTGCCTGGCCAAATGAAATGTTAATTAGTAAGTATATATTACCTAAGTACATATTACATGTGACTAGATTGTACTCAACATTTGGCTTAAAAGAGATCCTACACTACCAACATCTCTACAATAAGTGTAATGAAATCCACACCGACCTGCAGTTTTTGCTGTTGCTGACAGAGAGCAACGACCAAGCTTCTTTGTGCTTCAGAGTAATACACTTGCAACAATATGTAACCACAGTGTAATCACTTGAAGAGGTAGGGAAAAGGCTTCAGATATTGCGACATCCAGGGGTTTGAGAGGTCGATTGGCTACCCAGAAACTAATATACAATGAATTTATCTTTCGGTAAAAATTAACATGAGAGAAAATAAGAGGCAATTTGTGTCCAAAACCAACTGGACCGATTTCGGAAACATGCAAGGTCATATTTTGTGTTGGTGTTGGGTTGAGGACGTACTTGGGAGAGAGGTACAGCAGGTATGCTTTAAATATGCATGACGGTACATGTAAGCTGGCATCGTTGCAGCCCAAATGCATTAAAATGAGGAGATTTGATGACTATAGAAAATGCACAGTATTATACATTAATCCCTAAGGTGCATAATTTTAAAATCTTACTCTCTGCTGGTCAAAATAATCGTGAGATTTGTTCCGAAATGGAGTAACGGGACGTTGAAGGTGGATAGGAGCGTACTTACGTCGCGTACACGTGAGCACTCGTGTTCACGTAAAGTGGCAGGAGACTATTCACACGGCAAGGAGAATAACGCGGTCTGCATAGGAGTACTCAGACCTGAATCTTATAGGCTGACAGAATCGCGGGTTACTTTGTATTACATGTGAACATGTGAAGTTTCTACAAAGACAGCAGCCCGTGTGCGTGTTTGTTTGTCGAGTCTACAATTTTCAATGTCTCGAAGAAATAGAGATAAACACGTATTGGATTCTTCTCTTGAAAGTGAGTGGATTCACTTCCTATGAAAGTAACTACAACTTAATCGTCGATCAGGTAGGACGACGGCATGGAACCTGTCTGTGATGCGGGGCTGCTGTGATAGTCCTTAACACGAACCTGGCGGTGGCCCAGCAGAACAGCACCCGTACAACGCAGTTGCGACACAACACAAGCAGTTGGCGAGGCTTATACATCGTTTTTCTAAATTTGAAGTGCTTTCACAGACACAGGATATTTTTCGAAGCAGTCCTCCAAAAGTCTTGGCATATTATTAAACTGCAACAACCAGGTAGGTATAAAACTCTACCCTTAATGCTTTGTACAGGAACGATTGATTCTACACGTTATTGCTTGGAATGTCGAGAACACCGAGTCCGATGGGGTCGTCCTATAACGTTCGATAATTTTTGGAAGAATGATTCCTAACTGAAACCACTCCAAGAAATGTTAATGCTAGAATGTTACATTTGTGTTACTCGAGTAGAATTTTGAAAAGTGATCTGGAGACGGCGGCATCGTTCCTAGGTATCGTTGTTCATGTAGGTTTGTTATTTTTTCATGAGGTTACGTGGAAATGAGATTGTACAACATAACAACCATTTTACTACCCGCAGCCCATGGGTTCTAGATTCTAGATTCTTGTCATTAACGATTAGATTAAGCTTTAGAATCTTTCATAAACGCAGATCATTCTTTTAAGTGTATTTCCTTATAAATTGTAAACTGCTTAAAATAATTGGATGTGTTCTTGTTTCAGCTTTTACCAACAAAACCCTCTAATAACCTTCCAAAGAGTACATTTAAGCATTGCTGGTGTCAGATTGTTCTGATAATTGAATAACCTATTTGTCATTTGTATGCGTTTCCACATACTGTTGAAAATGTATCATTATTGTCATCTTTGGCTACTTCTTTTTTATTTTTCTTCTTATTTGTTCTGTCATCGTTCGTTATTCTGTTGCTTTTCTTCTCTTTTCTTCTTTCTTATTTGAGTTGTTCCTTCTATCCCTTAAAGTTATTATCGTAAATATTTATAAAACAGAATGATCGATTTTTAGTAACATGGATATTTTGTTGTGTTTTGATTGATGTTGTAATGCATAATATCCAGTACAAACAGATTCCAGATCTTTTAAAAGAAATTGCTTCTTCTCTGGAATCCTTATATCTTTTTCTGTTATTTTGATATTCAATTGATGTGATTATTTCATTTAGGATATGGAAATAAATAAACAAAACTAAACATTAACATAATTTTGTTACTGTTTATCTGCGTACAAAAAGAAAAAATCACCAAACTGCACTGGTCTTTATGTAGTTAAGGTTTTCGGAAGTGAGCGGTCACATTCTGGCAGGATATTTATCTTTCAGGCCAACGTAATTTTCTAGTTTTTGTAAATTCGTATTCTAGTAACTATTTTATAAAGGCCTTTTTCTGAGGAGATTTTGTATGAAGTAAACGATCGGGGAAAAAGTACAAATTCTGAAATTGTTGCGCGGTTTTTTTCCTATTCAACGGTTCCAGAAGCGCGCCACCATAGGGTCAACTTCTAGGCTGTATTTGTGGTCGAATATTAAATTTTGGAATGTGCGAGCTAATTTGGAAGAAGACATGTTTCAAAACCAGTGGCACTCACTAAGAGGATTTGAATAGAAGGAGGTATGCTTCTCGAAAAGTGAGACGACAGCAAGCACATCTCAGTCTCTCAATGGAGCCTCCTTCAATCAATGCAATTTAATGGGTTTGGTCTATTTCGATTTCAGGAGCATGTTTGGGCAAAGCGAAACATAATTGTGGTTCAGCTTTTATCATTGGTTCAGCGCTTTTGGAACTCTGATTATGCACCTGTAACGTCATTTGTCCGACCTAACAAGAACCAGAGGCTGGGGTTGGTTCAGAGTCGGCTCAGGATTGCGTAAAATAAGCAGACTTTGTCTGTAATAAGTAAATTATACATTCTGGTTTTCTAAGCTAATTAGAATTTTGAATATTAAGCACTTTCTTCAACAATGTAAACACCCAATTAAGCGTTTAACTTCGAAATGCATTTAAACTCAGATCTATAACACTTTTTAAACATTTTTATTTTGACATGTTTATAAATAAACATACAGGCTACGACGCATTTGTATGCTGAACACTCTATTTCATTTAATAAACGCAGCTTGTTTATGATTAAATACATGGAGTTGTTTAGCATGTGTTAGCTTTTTAAACACCTTTTAAATTATAAACCTGTTTGTGTGTTTATTACCTAAATGCCTAAATACGTGTGGAGGCTAAAACACTTGTTTTTTACATTTTGACACGTTATAAAGGATAGAGTATTTATTAACTTCACGTTATCGGGTATCGATGGCATACATGTGTTCAAGTCATACAGAGTGTCATGGAGAGTGGCAAGCCAACTGCTACGACCTAACACATGAACACATATTGTTTATTTTTTTTCCAGAAAATTATCACTCATCCGAGATTCTGATAACCTGTGTAACAAACGAATAAAATGCAACTCTGAACAGTCCGATTTCTCTACATTTGCAACTCACAACAGCCCGCAGACGTGCGGGGGACGCGGAAAGAGATTGAATTACACATTCCCATTCGTGCCTGTACATGTACATACAACGCACACTAGTCGTGTGCTAAACCCTTTTGTCTTAACACGGTGTTTATTCTTAATGGGATTAGTCAAGTAAATATACATTCTGCATCTATATTTCATACGGTTATATCAGTTTAAATTAACCACTTAAAACATGAGATTTGAATTTCATCGGCACGAAAGAGTATTGGGGAAAACTGTGGAATTCGCATTTTAAGCTGCTTTAAACAGGCTTCTATGGTCCCTATGATAAACACTTTTTTATGTGAAACACGTTCACTTCTAAATGCACTTATGTGTTTAAGCGTTTTAAAACTAACTTTGTTCGATTGTTCGTTAGAAAATGGTGTTTCTTAAAGCAGTTTTTGGTGCATAGTGTTGACAGAATTCTCCACGCTTTAATGTTGTAGTTAGGTCCCGTGTTCACACCACACGCTGTTGCCCATTTTAATTGTTCCGTTTTCGTTTTGGTTTGCAAGAGTGTTCAAATTTTGTATGGTCTTACCTGTAAACGTAATCTTTTCGACAGCCAGACAGGGGTGAAAATAAACGCTTTACGAGGTACCTCTTTCGACCAAAATTTTATTCAACAATGATCAGGAAAACGATTCACTTAAGACTGCGGGCATCCGACTCAAGTTAGGCCTATTGGATATTACTGGGAACTCGAATAGTAGTGTTTTGCCCGCACCGTGAATACAATAACATGGGTATTCATGTCGTACGGATCGTAGTGTAAGACTGTTCTGTAAAAAAATACAGCATTCCTAAAAACAAATACAGCTCTGTAAGACTGGTAGATTGAGATCCTTACAACAGAAGGGGATAAAAAAAAACACACAATTAACAAAATGAGTTGTGCACAACAGGAACTCGTCCTGGCTTCCTTGACGTTTATATTGTTCCGTTCCCTCAAGGACGGATATGCCGTGTGAGCTCAACCAGATACAAACTGTCACGATTCTCATACTAATCAGTTAACCCTGTGTACTGGTAATCCTCAGCAAAGGGAAGGACTGAACTCTTAACAGGCAGAAAGAGATGAGTCCACTGGAAAAATTAATACACAAATCTCCATTATTCTTCCATTATGTCATTCTTCGAGAAAAAGGTATTTATAAACACAACACTAAATGTTACAGACATGGGCTCCTCAGCGCTAGCTAACAAAAAATCCAGTTCCAACTTTTCTGATTACATTTTTAACTTTTGTAACTCCGACACACGCGAGCGTTGCGAGTCTCTTTCCTCTCAAAGATCTAACGCAGATACCTCCTATGTAGGGTATTTATAGCAAAAAATAAAAGAGTGCAATCGGCCCACCTTAGACACATAGCAGCCCGTATCACATATCCGTAACACCTGAACCCTAAATTGGAGCTGAACGTCACAAGACTACAATTAGTCTTGATGACAAGCCGTTTCATAGTCGTGCGCTATATCAGTCGGCGCAGGTATTACATGGCCGCGTGTCTCGGCTTGTCCAATGACTTGACAAGTAGGTGTTTTGGTCTGGTACACTTATGACCGTGTAGCACATGCGTGCGCTTTTTGTGCCACACAAAAATAGACCTTTCCACTAACAAATTCTTATTTAGAAGCGCACGCGCGCAGATGGCATATAGAGGCAAAATCTTTAAATTGATAGGGACACATCATTTGATCTCACTTTTGCATTTTTTTTCACTAAAAAACCCACTGAAATTATTGAAGCTATTTCTGGTGTAAGAGGAATTTCTGGAGAGCAAAAAAACAAAAAACAAAAAAACAAATTAGGTTCCTTCAAAGCGCACGAGGGTAAAAGAAATCAGTTGGGTCCTGATCTGGGTGAGCTATGTATTAATAGAGCCTGAAAGTAAAGGCCACTCAGTGAGCTTCTGGAACCCTCGTGCGGCCTGCCTATGTGGATTTTACATGGGGCCGTCCGATCAGGCTCGATAATTTTTGGAAGAATGATTCCTTTTACTGGAAGAAACACCCATGCCGAAATTTTGCCTTTGTACTCGTCAAGTAATACTTAGGAAAAGTCACTGGGTGATTGGTAAAAATATATATATATATATATTCACAACCTTTCACTTCGGGCACTATCGTTCCCAGGTCCCCTTGTTCATTCACGTTTGTTTTCATTGCCCGTTCTTACGTGCATTGAAAGTTGCAAAGAGCTGCATGCAGTCGATGGACTCTTGATTCAGTCAAGTTGACCTGACACAGTTCTTGTCAGTAAAGGTTACATAAGACATTAGAATCTTTCGTTAAAGCAGGTTATTGCTTTCAGTTTATTTCCTTTTAAATTACAATTGTTTAGGTATTTTGGTCTGTTTTTATTTTGGCTTTTACCGTAATTGCTTCCGGAGTATAATGCTGCGCTTTCTTTGTACAGTAGCCCAAACTATGCAAACGAGGTTTTTCTACTAGTTAAATGACAATTTTCAATGTGTCCAACCCTCTTAACCATTTTCACGGGTGTTAGACCGCCGAAACTGGTTCTCGTCCGGTTGGATGTCAGGACTTCTTTTCCACTTCAATGTGCAGCGGTGACCTTGTCATTGAATGGGAGGTGTACGATTAATGAGAAAAGAACCAAAAAAGACACACTTTTCTTAATTGTGATGCAAACAGTGGTGCACAGAACCAAAGTACTGATGGAATCTTATGCTGCGCATGACCCTATTTATTGAGCTGCTTGGAACAAATTATTGATCCACCTATTAAGCAGCAGGTCAGCTGGCCAGAAGTTAGTGAGCTACATTAATATAACTGTAGACAGGACAATTATCAACCTCCTGCTGCTTAATAAATATCCACTGGACTAAGTGGTCCATAAAAAAAATTACCTACGTTAACGACTTAAACAAGATCCACGTCGTGTAGATTCTTTCCCGTTACACAGCACTTGCTTTCATATAGATTACATGAAATAACTGAGTCTTGTTACGGAGTGAAAACTATAATTGTCCCCACTCCTGTTGTGTCTCCGTGTCTCCTGTTTTGCGCCATTTTGCCCTTCAACTGATCCAGTAGTCAGGTGTCGGGACTGGACTAATGTCGTTGTTGACGGGAGCGCCTGTCTGTTTGTCCCTGGGGCAGCCCGCTTCAACTCTCATATTTATGTAGTCTTGACGCAGCTGTCTGTACGCCTTTTCCATGTTTTCTCCGAAGCTGTTCTCAAGCTGTGAGTCACAGTCGGCTTCTTCGGGCACCTCATAAACTTCGTCGTCAATGTCTGTGTTAAGCTCAGAGTCGTTCTGCGGAGAAACTGGGGGCATGTAAGTCTCGTCAGCCCTATGAACAAGATGGTTGGGACCTGCGCACTGCAGATTCAAAGCACGGTCTTCACACAAGGGCATGTTTCTGAATTCAGGGAACTTAGCCTTCTCTGCGGACACTGGTCCCCTCTGGTAGGTCGGCGAATCGTACAGGCCAATATCTTCTGTCGGGGTCCCGGGGGTCTCTATAGGCCCCAATCGACGGGCGTGATTGCTTTCCACTCGACCTCCGCTCCCTTTGTCAAATATCAAGTCCTGGTATTCGTCCTCACGGAGCTTCTCGTTTGTCTGCCGACCTCGCGGGGGCACTGGAGGAGGTCGGTGTTGCGCCTCCTGCCCCTCTGCCCTCGTTGTGCTTCGTCTGGTAGAAGACCTCGTCAAGCGTTTGAAAAGTCCTTCCTTGGGCATTTCGATCTTGACTTTCAACCCAGTTTCTGGGTTCTTCAGAACTATCTTGCTTCCCTCAGCCAGCTCCAAACCTGCTAGGAATCACGAGGTACTGCCATTAAACTGGTTGCACCTTTATATATATATTTGTATACACTAAATAAAAGCAGTGTGAGCCCGGCGTTGATACCAGCATTTGTGGCGACACTTCTGCCGATGGGAAGGCAAGGTCGTACTTCAAGCCAGACATATGCTCCGTTTCAAGTGATAAACAATTTCAAAGCACACAATACATCACCGAACGCACTGAGGGACAGATAAAATTCACCACACAGTATCCTTTTTGGGTGTCGGTTTTCTAAGGTTATTTAAAATCAGATGTCAGTTTCTACCAGACAAAGAACCTATAAATTGCTGTTTTTGTCCATTTTACAACACCATATGAAATAACCTGAATATTTGTAGTGTTCATTATCACTGTCTGTGATTGATATGTCGAGAATTCACGATGCAACCTTACCTCGGGACTGGTTTGGGGAATTGAAAATCGCATTCCAGTGTCTCATATCTGCCATAGTTACTGTCCTCTTTGTCTCGCTCCTTCTGAAACTCAGCGTGCCAAGGTACATCTGAAAGGCAGAGCAACAACATTCCACTAATTAACCATTGGGCAATGAGGAAACAGATGAATGGATCCTGGGAAATCCCTGCATTTCTCTGTGCCATCATCACGCGCCCTTTCCCCGTTTTTTTTTTTTTTTTTTTTCCATCAGCCCTGCACAAAGTGTTGATTTAATGCGAGGTCATTATATTTTTCCGGGAAGTTGTTACGCGGAAGCACTGCGTAGATTTTTGCGTACGTCATGTATACAGGTGTATGGATCCTGTCACGAACGACGTAAAAGGTCAAGTAATATTCAGTACGTTTGTAAAATTTGGAAATAGTACTTAAAAATGTTTAAGAATATTCACCTCTCAGCCTCTGAAGACTGGGAACTTGCCAAGTTCGAAACGTCAGGAAGCAATATATTTGATTGATATGTGTAGGAACTGTATGATATATTTTTCCTCTTTTGTTACAGACTCGTATAGAATATAATACCTACTTTCCAGTTCCGCACAACACTGTCTGTTGTTTTTGAACAATTGCTTGGAAAAGTTATGTGTTTTTCTCTGCTGTCATTTGCAATAGTTCAGGACCACGCTTACAAAATGTATAAACCTGGGGTAAGATACAAAATACATTAACCTGAACAAAAACTGAACTGAACCGAATTAAGCATAACAACCTGTTGTTTCTTTTTAATGTGTAACCCTCTATCAAAAAATATATATAAAATGTCATGCAAAATATCAAATGAGCTCAAAGCTCTATTCTGATGTTATGGAACACTTTTAAGGAGTTATGCAGTCTTTCAGTGAGACAACGGAACGCGGGCCAAGCGATACCACCAAATACCAACAAAATTCAATCATTATTGTCTTGAATTTTTGCAAATCACCGTGTTTATGCTCTTTCATGCATTCATTCAGTCTCCCAGAAAAGTTAACCTTTTTTTATTTAACAAAATGCAAATTAAAGAAAGCTACCTCAAACCTACTAGACGTGTGCTAGCCTCGAGTCAAGACTGATTTTGAAGTATATTCCTGAATATTACAAGAAAAACCGAGCTGGGCTAAAATACATGTTTCCACCGCCAAAAACTGTATTGGGCTGGGTAGCTAGTTCTCAAGCAACGTTTCTGATTGGTTTTACCTTCAGCCAGGGGCATAGATCCCTTGGGATGGGGAGTATATATCCCCCACAACCACGTTTTGAGTTGGTGGGCATTGAATCACCCCTTCCCCTGTTTTGTGGTAAGCAAAACAATTAAGTAGGTTGTAGAATTAAAACAGGTGAAGATTTTTGTTTTGTTGAAACACATTCAATATCTCTTAGAAAGGGACAGCCTCAAAAAAGCTAAACATATGGCATTCTGAATACATATTACAGATAAAATTATTACCGTGAACATCGACCTCAATACGGAGTCACATTGCGTACCCCCCTTTCAAATTTCCATACCACCACCCCTCCCAGCCTTCCATCCCCCACGGCACAAATTTACACAACTGCTCTCAGCTTATGCTATGTAGCCCTGTGTTCGTCGTTGACAAGAGTAACATGAGGGACAATTTTCTCCGTGATCCATAAACTTGGTCTCTCGCTGATTGATGATTTTGATGATTTTGACCGGGCACAGTGACATGACCAGCATCATAGCATGGGCATGATCAAAGCACACTGCAGGCCGTCACTATTTTCACGCCAAGGCAGGCTTGATACCAACTTATATTGTGGTGATTTCGCATTTGCTTTAAAACATCTTTCTCAACAATTCTGGCGTACTCCCTCTTTCAAGCGTGAAATCCAATGATGTTAGGGACAGACACCCCTTAGAAACGCTTGCAATTTGCTTTTTTTTTCACGAAGTGACGCAAAACGTTAGAGTCCCTTGGAGGACACACAGCGCTAATGTCTCAGGGCGTAGAAATAGAAAGACTCAAATTTGTGTTTGCAAGATTTTTCTCGCTGTTTCTCAGCGCGCGGACTCGCGCAAATACGAATGTCATTCTCCTATGTATCATTACCGAGTACGGGGATAGCTGAAAAGAAGGTTAGCTCAGATTTCGTTTTCGCATGGAACGCCATCTTTACTGATTTATCTCTGCCAAATTACTTGTGATTTCAGTCTGACCACTGTCATGTGTTTTATAACTTTCATTGAATCACGCAATATTTTTCAGTGCAGATTATTTGTCGAGCAGGCTCCTTGAACACTTCCTGTTTTGCCAACATCATGTTTCGTTTTCAGTAACAGGGCCTGTTACTTCCTTCTCCGAAATGCACAGTTGGGCAGCGTACAGTTAAGAAAATAGATGATCCCCAAACAATGTGTATATTTTATTTATATATTTATTTGTATATGGTGTTAAATGGATTCGAACTTGCGCAGCGATGGTGTATTGTTGATGGCCCAGCCATTCCATCTGAGGTCATGTTATTGTTGTCTATTTTTTAACAGTTTATTTATTTGGTTGTTTCTTACCTGCAGAAAGATGTAATTTTCATTGAAAGAGTCTGTCGGGTACAGTAGTTCTAATCTCCAGCATAATTGCACGCAGGGTCGTTTCCAACGTCCTGTATAAAAACACAGGCCCCCTGAAATAGCGCTGACTTCCGCGGATGGTGACGGTGTGCATTGTTTTCCCAGTTGAATCGTACCATTCCGCGGATGGTGACGGTGTGCATTGTTTTCCCAGTAGATTCGTACCGGTAGGTCAATCTGACTTCGTTCACTTGAATTCTTGGCCAGTGTGCGGTACGTATAGACATGGCACAGCCTGCGTCGTTTGGATTCACCCGGGAGAAATTGGCAGAGTTGCTTTCCTGTCCCGTGTGCTTTGAGAAGTTCGATGATGGCAAAAGGGTGGCCAAGTTTCTGCCCTGCCTGCATGGCTTCTGCGTGGACTGCCTCGGCCGGTTCGTGCAGGGTGCTCCGACGTTTAAATGCCCGCTCTGTCGGCGGGACACTCCCGTTCCGGATGGTGGCGTGCAGTCGCTGCCTGATCACTTCATCGTGACGAAACTCAAGGAGTTGGATGAGGTGCTGAATGTTGATGCCAACCGCCCGCACCACGTGTTCCGCTGCCAGTGGTGTAAAAATGAGAGTACAGCTGTTGGCTTCTGCCCCGATGGAAACTGCTTGGCTTTTCTTTGTGCAAGTTGTAGGGAACACCACGATAGATTGAAGCTGTACGACGGTCATGTTTTATACTCGATGGAGCGGCTGCAAGAGCAACCTGACATCTTACTTTCGCGGCACAAGCTTCAATGTGAACAGCACAAGCATGCCTTGTCCGTATTCTGTGACAGGGAGGGCTGCCAACGGGCAATGTGCTTGGTGTGCGTGACGACAGCCCACCAAGGTCATCGAGTCATCGATTTGGACCAGAAATCCTCCGAGGTGAAGGAAGAATTACAGAGTTTGGCCCAAGCGGCTGGAAGTAAGAAAGCTACGGCTGAGAAAATCTCCGGGAGCATTAGCACTGAAATCCATCAAACAAGCGTCAGGTTTGATGAAGTGATGTCTAGAGTTTCTACCGTGTTCGAAGGGTTGCAACACCTGCTCCAAACCCGACAAGAAGAAGTTATTTCCGACTTGAGGAAACTGTGCACCGACAAAACAAACCAGCTGAAGCTTCAAATCGATCGAGCTGAGTCTATGGTGTCACAGTTCGACTCAGCTTGCCAGTTCGCCAAGACAGCCTGCGAAATAGGCAACGCAGTTGATCTCCTCAAGACCAGAGGACAGATCATCACGCGGCTCCACGAACTCATAGCTCTTGATATTGACAAGTCCCTGCCTTTCCAGCAGGCTGATGAGGTCTTTCTCTCCTTCACAACAAATCACGACTGTGTCTTATCTGAGATTGAAAGACTCATACCGGACCTGGGACAGTTTAGCACATCCCCAGACAGCGCAAAACTGACCCCAGAGCTCAGAGTCGAGTTTCCTGGTGGACTTGGGCCGTCGATGAGAGTCGGGGCCGTACAAAAAATTCACATCTTCGAAGATACTGTATCAAGTTTGCCGGTGGAGACCCTAAGTGAGCGTTTGTTTGCGTACATTCGGTCCCCAGATGGCGGCACCACTGAGTGTAACGTGGGGAAACTCTGCGGCGACTTCTACGAGTTTGAGTTCCAGCCGCAGACAGCAGGAAAGCATGAGCTCAGCATCAGCATATCTGGTTTGCAAATCACTGGTAGCCCGTTCAAGATCAACGTGGTAGATGCGCCCTCGGGAGCCTCCGGTAACCCTTTCCCGTCCACAACTGACGACACCCAAGTCATGGTGAGTGACGTCACATGGACGGACGCCTTCGTCAGATGCGAGCACGCCGTCATTTTCAAGCTTCGCAGTCCGCAGAATTTTCCACTGCAACTTAGACAAATCAGCGTACAGTGCACAATGCCAGATCTCACAGGGGAAGGTCAGACTGGAAAACGCCCCAGTGCGGTGATGGTGACCACCAAGCCAAAAGATGCGTTGCCAAGCATTCTCCCTGTGCCAACGACAACAGAAGCTCAGATCTCAGAGACTGCCGACAAGGGAGCCTTTCGAGTAGCCTACACTCCACTAGTTGCTGGCAAACTGGTGATGAAAATCCTCGTTGACAGTAAACCCATCGTTATGAGCCCCATCCTCATCAACGTCAGCCCTTTACATCCTAACTCCACCGAGGTAGTCCCTTCGTGCCCTAGACGGCGATGCCACGAATTCGCAGCTACAGTAGATGTACCGTACACAGTGATTGTCTGGACACGGGATTACCTGGGCCGACGCTTAAAAGTTGGTGGCTATAAAATCACTGCCGAAGTTAGAGCTTCATGTTCGTCCGAAGCAGATCCACCCTGTAACATCCGAGACAACTCTGATGGCAGGTATGTAGAGTGCATATGACTTTCCCTGTACAATTTAGCATGTCTCCTTCGCTTACCAATTTCCAAAACTCCAAATAAAGAAAAGACAGAGTGGGAAGTTTGTGAAGACCTGTAGCTGAACCTGTGACCCGTGCCTTAATTTACCGGAGGTAACAATGTGATTGGTCGAGCTAAATGTCGGGAAAAAAACTTATAATCCATTTTAATGTGTAATGTTGCCAAAATAAGGGAAAAAGAGAAGGAAATCTATTCACCCTTCCTTACTATGTATTCATTTTGTGGTCATTGTTAAAGAAAGTGAACAAGTTTTCCCTTCTTGACATCTGTTACACAGGTAGTCAAGTGACCAGCATCGTTAATGCAAAATTGGGGGTATCCTTGGGACGGTCTACAATTTAAAGCTGGGTGGGTTGAACTTGGTTCAGTTGAACATTTACTCCGAATTCATCAAACCTGAATGACCATAATTCACGAGCGTCGTCTTTGTTTTTCTTTCATTCTTTTCGGTGAAACTACTGCCTCCAGCTACAGTATCACCTTCACCCCTCGTACTCCTAAACCTCACAACGTCAGCATCAACATATGTGGGTTCCCGATAAAGTCAGGTAATCCCGTCGTGGTTCCTGTTCAAGACGGTTTGACATTGCAGGAGCCTCCAGGAGGATACAAGTCTCCTTCTTCGTTGGCTGCGGACAAGGACAGGTGTGTCTGATCCGTTTTCTTGCACAGCTTTGAAAAGACCTTTCATTGATTGAATGTTTGGACGTATGAGATTGCTTCGTTTTGCTCTACATCAATCAGTACAAAAGAAACCTTTCTCTTTTCTGGGATGATGTGCGAGTATTTACTCCCAGAGGGTTGTCCAGGCTTTCCTGAAACGGTAAATTCTGTTACCACACAAAAGCCCTGTAGCTGCATAACAAGAAGAGTTTCATTCATTTGTTTATCTTTTTGATCCTCATGATGATGCTGAAAAACAGGTAACTCGTAACAATCTCTTAAAGGGGGGGGGTAGCGGGCTAGTGGGCTAGCTTAGTGGTTATTTCCTCGCCTTGCACCAATGAGGCCCGGGTTTGAGTCCCGGCTGGGCCAAGACTTTAAATGCATTTGGTTTCCAGTCCATACTCGCTCCGCGCAGGTTTTCTCCGTGTACTCCGGTTTCCTCCTGCGTCTAAAACTGAACCTTCTTCCTAACTCCGTAATGTGATGCTGATTAATAAAGTGTGTGAATAAACGTACAGTTATTGGCGCAAATAGCCTGAGTTGCTGGAAGCGCCATTACAGCAAACAACAAACAAGAAGAACAAGAACAACAACAAAAACAGCAAACAGTCCTCTAGGCTTGCAAATAGGCCTGGCATTATTTGACTCGTGCTGTTTGGTTTATCGTGGGTCATATCAATGATAGTCTCCAGTGATCATGAAGTGGAGAGAAGGTAAAATTGGAAGACAGTCAAGAGACCAGTCAGAGATAGGAAAAGCACTTGAACTGAAAAAGATTTCGCAGACGAGTATTAAACTCAGCGACTCGGTGGTCATTCACATCAAAGAGGCAGCCCAAAAAAATCATAGGCGTGGAACATTGTCAGGTAGATTTGTCACACTGAACTGACTTGAATAACGTGACGCACAGCAAGTTCTCAGTAAACGTGCGACGCCTACACATTGTCTTGTTGTGGCTTTACATAATAAAATGAATTATGTGCTTGGCCGGTCTGAGGCCCAGAGGAACGGAGGCAACAAATGTCTGGGCCATATTCAAGGGCATTGTCATTAACTAACGTTTAAGGCGTACCAATCTCAATGTATTCCCACTCATAGGTATCTTTTAAGTCAGTATTCTCCGTTGACTTCTGTTGAAGAATTTTAATTGATTTTCTAAAATACCCCTCCAGCAATAGCTATGGTATGTTCCTCTCGCAAGCAGTCGTTAAAAGTCGCAATGGAGTTTGGCATGTGCTTGGCACGTACTGCGTGAAACGGCGCACACTCAGCGTGTTTTGTATCACAAAACTGGCTGGGGAAATACAATGCACTATGTCGTGGGTATATGGGGTTTATTGCCAGTCTTGAGGGAAACTAGTCCTTACGCCTTGTGGAAGCTTCCCCTATTGAAATGTTGGACTTCAATTCCCTTTGGAAAAAATACTCCAGAGCCACGATCATGACATTTTAATCAAGCCAGGTTTTCCTCACCAGTGTTGTGTGGAACAAAAAAATTGCATACAACTAGCTAGGGCTTAATCCGAGTCATCTTTTTTTACTGGCCTCGCAACAGGCTGTCGACCAACTGGGACGGTTTAACTATGGTGACCCTCGAGGGATATCGCCAGTCGCGAATATTGCCGTCAATATTTTTGACCAAAATTCGCGACTTGCTCTTCCGTTGCAAATATTTAAGGCAATATTCTCGACTGGAGAACGAGTCGTGAACTTGGTCGCAAAAAATGACGTTAACATTGACAATTGGCCATGTCCCTCCAGGGCCACCATACTAAGCTCTCTTTTGTATGTGGGTTCAAAAACCCAGGACGGTAATGTAAAAGAATAACAATTTTAAAAAAATTAAACTGAATTAAAACAAAATGAACCTCCAAGCTACTTGTTGTGAAATTCCAGGCAGATAGTTTACGTGGCAGACGGAAAGAATGGCTGCATACACCAACTACCGATCCCAGACGGCTGTTGCATGTCCGGCAAGTTACCCATCAAAGTCAGTCTACGCCGGACGTTGCAGATAGCTGTCAGCACATCTGGAAAACTCGTTTTGCTGGTTCCCAACTCAAGCTGTGTAATCATCTGCAACAGGAAAGGAGAAGAGTGGCATAGGTAAGGATGGTCTCCCTCAAAAATGGCATCGGACGGAAAACAGTCGCATATAAATATCTGTTGTGATAAATTAACCATTGAAAAGGTAGATGCTTTCCTTTTTCCGCATGACGGGCTTTTGCCGATCCTCTTTACTGCATTTTTATAAAAGGGTAACTGTAATACTCTGCTGTCAAATTTAGTTTCGTGTTCTTTCATATGATCCCAGCAAGCAAGGTAATACAACGTGACAATCTGGCTTTGCCTATTCACCTGATCTCGTAGAGAGGGAGCGAAGGAAGGATTCCAAACGGACCTGGCAAAACGGTGATACTTGGTAAAACTCAGAAGCGACAAAAGTATCCCAGCATGCATTGCCTCAAGTTTATAAAATCATTTGAGCCAAGCCTTGTATCTAGGGGCTTAACCTTTTATTTATTTATTTATTTATTTTTTTTTTTTCGCACTTGAACCAACAAAGGGACTCCGTCTAATTATAGAAGCTAATTTCCGGAGTTCACGACTAGTGGTAAAACACAGTGGTGCTAAGTGCATAATACACGTTCGGGATTCGCAACAAACCAACGACCAGTGATCAACAAAGATATTAGACAAATTCCATAGAACCTCTCTTAATAAAACATTACCGAGATTCAAGGCCATTGGGGGTCGGTCGTCCATTTCTTTCTTTTCAGATTCAAGAGCGTACAGAACCCCCACCATACAGGGAAAGATTTTACCGCCTGCGTACATTTTAATAAGCCATGGAAAGTAACAACCAGCAACACTTTCTGGTGTACCCTTGGTGGAAGAGACGGGGCGGAAAATTTGCATTATAGCTCGCAGCGTATCGTTGGAAAAGGGATGGAGTCGACCCTGGACAATTTCATACATATTTTATCGAAACCTTGAAGGAATGTTTTAGGTGTCTTTAAGCGTGCAAACCTCCACTGAACGTTTTCTTTGTAGGTGGATATTGCCTACGCTAAGTTAGGACTGGTTCCAACTCTGTCCAAATCAAAAACAATACACGTGCCTCGTATTGGTAAAATAGTGTTTATTTAACTTGTTCTCGACACTGCAGGTGGACGTGCTCTGAAAAGAATAGCGAACCGACCAGTATCACTGCTCTTGACAAGGATTGCGTTGTCATCGGCGACACCAAGTTGCAAGCCTTGTTTGTCTACGGGGTGATGGGCGAGAGCCTCGTTACGATTAAGCTACCCGACGGCTCGCTGGGGGTTGGAATACAAAATGTCTGCTCCGACGGTAACCACAACATCCTTGTGGCCACTCACAGCAAACCGTACAGGATCCTGCGGTACACCACGACGGGAAGCCTCGTCTCTGAGATAGACTCGCCCGCCGGGACTACACAGCTGGCCGTGGCGGCTATGCCTGAGGGCGTTCTCGTCGTGTCCGCCCTCGGCCTAGTCCTGGTTCTGGAGCTCACTCCCGATCGTGAGGGCGCTGTGGTCGTTCGCAAATTCCTTACGGACTACATCTACACAGGGTTGGCTCATGCAGGGAAAGGGTGCTTCGTTGCGCTTGACCCGGGAGAAAGACACGTGGCAAAATACAAACATATCTCTCCCACCGCAATTGCAAATAGGCAGGAGAACGGAAGAAATGTCGTGGAGTAAAAAAAAATCCAAAATGATATAGACTGGCGATCTGAAAGTGTAAATAAATGCAGCGAGAACAGTTAAAACAAAGTTGTGTCACCAGGATACTCGAAATTCCAGTTTTATTTCTACTCAAAACCAATACTTTTCTTTTTTCCCCTGGGATAGGCTCCTGAGTGTACGGGTAGAGTAGTTTTTAGCATGCTGGATAAACTTTTTTGGTTGGCTTGAATTTGTTTTTGGTCATCTGG